TGGGCAAAGAAAAAGTGTGGATTGTTAATTTGGGGAATGTTGGGACCTACTTGTGCTGTTCGGCTAACACAGATATGCCTAGAACCAAAAAGAGTGCCCAAGTAGATTTGGATTCCGAAGTTGGGAAAAAAGGATTATTTTAAAGTTGTACGCAAAGGCAAACTTGCAATAAAAAATGGGAAGGACCTTGTGAAGCAAATTGTTTATTTGTGATTTATTATTAGTGGATTAAGCCTAATATAGACTCATTGAACTACATAATTATTTAAAGCGTTGTCACAAAGTTATAAGTTTTTTTTTCCGATTATTGCAATAGTATAACATTTATTTTTAAATAATAGTGTTAATAATATGTAATGTTTAAAAGTAACATTACATGCATGATAATACTACTTTTTAAAATGTAAAATGTTATTAGGTTTACATCTTTTAGATTGAAATGATTATAACGTGATATCATACTAATTATTATAAATAAGTTATTAAAAATTAAATCATTTTTGTCTCTATTCTTTCTGAATAATTTTTTTTGGATAATCTAAATAAACTTATGCATTATCAACGCTTTAAAGGTAATAAAAAAGCTCTTGATAAAGGAAATGAAATTGTCTACCGAACTTGAACGCAAGCTGTACTTGATCATCAAACAAATGACTGTCATGGCATTTAATGGATTTTTATTGGTCAAAAGTTTGAGACTTCTTTGTCTTTTTTTTTTATCTCTTTTATAGATAAAGTTGGTAAAGCATTATTCAAACCAAAATCGTAACGTAAGGAGAGAGCTTCCATTTAAGGGTCTATAATTCTGCAAATTCAAGGAAACAACAATGATTTTATCACTTCTCCCCTCTTTTGACTTTGCATGTGACTATCTTTGCATCTCCCTATTTTTTATTTTTTATTTTCGTTTAGGTTATGGTTCATGAACACAACTAAAGGATGCACAAAAAAATAAAAAGTCATCGCGTAAGAAGGGAACAAAAATGTGTGATGATCGTCATTCTCGTCCCAACATGATCTGAAAGGGCAATACATATGACAAAAGAGGTTTGTGGTTTGTAGGGATAGCTGATTAAAATATCAAATGAAAAGACAAAAAGGACAAAAGATGACATGTAGATCACAATTTAACGAGTGAGTTTTTTTTTTTTTTTTTGTAAATAACGAGTGAGTTTTGAACCCATTGATTTCTACAGGAAAGTTTGTGCGTGCTGCATAGCGTAGCATTGTGGAGATTTTATTATATCCTGCCGGCAATATCATATAGATTTTAACAGGTTTTGATATATTTATATGAGTTTTTTTTAACGAAATAAGATTGTGTATAGAAAGATATAGATAGAGAACTTTTATATAAGAAAACATTTATGAGGTATGTGTAAAGGATGTGGTCTTTCCATGAAAAAAGATGTGGGGCCTAATGGAACCTTTTATATATATCTGCACACATTCACAACATCATGTCATTTAAAAAAAAAAAAACATAAATATCATAACATTACAGTTAATTAAGAAGTAATTTAAATACATTTTAAGTTTTGATTAATTTTAAAAAAATCACTTTTTTTCTAAAAACCCTTCTAATAAAATTTTGATTATGAGTAATTTTGAAAGTAATTTAAGCACAAACTAAATCTACATAAATAAGGAAGACTGGCCCCGTGGCATTAGGCATTTGGAAAAGTTGGTAGGCATTTTATTTCGAATAAATCTAATCTTTACAGTAATAAATGCATAACTTTTTTCCGCTTTAATCACGCTTTTGCTTTCTCAAATTTTATAAAAATGAGTTAGCCAATCTCTATCGCTTTAATTATTATAATGCCATTTTCAAAGTTTCTTCTTTTTATGAACTCATTTTCAAATATTTTAAAGCGATAGAATCAAATCTTTTTTAATCTAAATTGGGTTTTAATTAGGGGTATAAATAAGTCCGATCGGACAAAATTTTAATCAAAACAAGTTAGGCTTATGCAAAATATTTTAAACCTAGCATATTTTATTAGTTTGATGTAAGTTATATTATAGATTTGGTTTGCCCTATATTTAAAAAATAAAAGGTCTGACTAGGTCTATTAATTTATTTAAACCTATTAAATTTTTAATAATTATCAAAATTAAAAAAATATAAACTAATTTTTTATTAATTTAATTTATATAAATATTCATTTTATTTTATTTTAATAAAAAATAGATATAGATTAACTTATAAGTTTACAGACTAAGTTTTGTAAAAGTAGACTATGACCTATTTTCTAAGCAATTTTTTTTTAAGTCTAAGCCCGATCTATTTTATTAAATATATTAGATTCGTGCTGGAGGTTCTGGAGGCCGCCTGATGCATTTATACATGTAATTTATTTGCATTAGTTTAAATATGAGGATAACATTGTAGTAATTAAATATCATACATATAGTGAACACTAGTTAAACTCGTTACATAGTACATTTTAGTAATTAGATGCATTGATTTATTAGGCACAAATGCTTTTGGTATATTTATCGTGAAGGTCAGGTCAACGGTTAAAAAAAGGTGGAGTAAGATGCATCGAATCACTAGCTTAGCCTAATAGAAGTTATCTGCAATTCGAAATCTTCCTTATTCGAATTCCTTAGCCTAACAAATATCTAGCAGAAACGTAAGGGACTGGTCGTTCTCATCGTAATAATCTACACCAAGTATTTGATTTTAATAATTAATAATAATAAAAAAAACACAGTGCGAATGTATACTTTCATATTCGTATTCGTTAATAATTTATAACATTATAATGGCATGAAAAGCAATACGAGATAACAGCCAAATGTTATGCTGTGCATGATCAATGATGTCCTCTTTCTTCTAATCCACACACCCTTGATTAATCCTATAAAACTCATAATTTCTTACTTTCTAGTATTGGTGGACCTTGTTACTTGTAGCATTCTACTTAAGTTATCATTAGGACAAAAAGGGAGATTTATGTTGATAATAATAAATTGGGTTAATTATTCTTTTGGTTATTTTTTTTTTAATTCTTAAATAATGTTTGTTCACAAATATAATATCAATATAATGTAAAGGTTCATTTAATCTTATGTTATATGAGATAAGATCTTTCATGTTGTAAACGTATATGTAGGGTCTATTTAAAAAAAAATAAAAAAATGTCACAATTTTTAATAAATTTATTAAAGATAAAATTACTTTTATATTATGTTTCATAAAAATAATTTTTCGCATGATCTAATAAGTCACGCATCCATAATGCAACTCCCCGTGCGGACTGCGACATGTCATCTCGTGTATATTTCACATCAATAGGATGTGAACTCATTGCATTATATTAATATTATATTTAAAAATACGGGTAGGTTATTCTTAAAATTCTGACACCAAATATTAATCAATATTTTGGTTATATTTAACTACTCACATATTTAATAAATTAAAATAATTAAATAAAAAAATTAAAGAGTAAGAGGTCATTTGTTTCGGCTTTTAAAAAAATAATTTATATCACTTTCTTATTTTAAAAGTACTTTTTACAAAAATTAAAGCTATTTATATTTTTATAAAAATATTTAAATTTTGAAAAAAATATTTGACTTTTGACTTCTGCTTTTTTTAGAAATTAAAATTTTTAGCTTTTGAAAAAAAGTAAGTTTTTGATTTTTTTTGTGACTTCTTTTTTTTTTTTAAAGCAGACATCCAAATAAATTAAAAACGAGAAGTGTTTTTTTTTTCTTAAAAAAAAGCAACTTTTGAAGAATAAAAGCTCGTCCAAACGTACCCAAAAACTGAAAACTTAACATACACGATATAAAATGATATGACCCGTTGGTTATTCACCCAATGTAATGACTATAAATAATTAAACAAAAATAAATATGAAAATTGAATGAAAACATATATAATAAGAGAAAAATTATATTGATAATTTCTTTTTATAAATTTATAAACTACATTATATTTTATTGATAAGATTTTATTCAAGAGTATTTTATTAATAAAACATAATATATTTTATAAATAAAAAATTTATAAATATAACTTTTTCATATAATAAAAAATAATTTATCATTTTAAAAAATCAAAATTATATTCTTTTACCTTCTTATTATAATTATGTATTTTAGAAAGTACATAATTAAGTTATATTTTTTTACTATTCGCTAATGTAAAAAGTAAAAAAAATAAAATTTTAATATTATAACTATTTATTCTGATTATACATAAAATCAAAGGACGTGACTTAGTTGGTTTAAAAGGAAAATACGTTTTCACCCGGCGTTGATGTTCCGGTGAGCGGTGGAACAGTAACGTAAGGTGAGGGAGGGTAGGGAAACACAGTCCCGATCTACCTGGTGCGCACATTAGCTTTAGTGGAAATATGACTATGAATGCGACACATAGTTTATGTTAATGTGAAACATTTGACTCTCTGTAGCTCCACATAACCAAGCAACAACATGCACAAAAATACAAGTACCACTCTCCAATGACAAAGCACGAAGTGTCTTCTCCATTTTTTTATTTATTCTTATTTTTATATACATAGATAATAATAATATATAATCCATTTAAAAATGGTGGGCTTCATTTCCATTTTCTTATTATATAATAAAAATTGAAGTTTTAGGCTCTCTTTGAAAGAACGCAATGATGGAAGAAGAAGAAGGGTCTTGCGTTGCGTTCTGGTGTTCTATATAGTACTGGTCACCATGTTGGCATGAAGATTTGAGCGGGAAAAAAAAATAAAAGCTTCTCATTTCTCAAATTAGCTTTCTAACTTCTAAGGTTCTGCTTTTTTTAATTGCCCTTTTAATTTTTAATTTTGATTTTGGTTTATTCCTTTTTTTAAATAGTTCTAATCCAATTAACTTCCGGGGAAAACGAGGAAGTGGGTACAGATCAAACTTTGTTGTAATTGCCAACCAATTATTATGACATCAGTTGTCTTTGATATGTACTTTCTATTTGAGTTCGTCTATGTTTACTGGTACTTTCTTCTCCCAGTTGTTATAACTTTTGTTGTTTTTTATTAAAAAAAAAAAAGGGGGGTCGATGTAGGATTTGGTTTTGTTTTCCTATGTATAACAAAAATGATGTTTTGGTTTGTTGCCTTATTTGGGAAAAATCATACTATAGAATCTGTTGCATAGGCGTGTCTATGGTCTTTATTGTGCAAAGTGGCCAAGGTGGTGGAAGAAACTGAAGCATGGATTAGTTAAAAGAATTAATGCGTTTTTTGTGCTTCTTTTTAGATTGTGCTATCTGAGATTAAGGTTTCTATTTGTTTACCGTTGATTGTTAGCTATTGAATTAAGGAATTTCAATCTTTTTCTCTCTCTCACAGTAGTTCTTCTGGTACTACAAAAGTTGAAACAATGGTCTGTACATGATTCCACTGCTTGATTCTTATCTGCAGGAACTTAATAGTCTTCTATCCTTTTATATCTTTTTTGTTTCCTCCTTCTACTTTGATGCTGGAATACCTGAGTATGAAGACCAGCTCTATTATTTGGTTATTTACTTGCGCATAAATTTCTCATCTTGCATCAACGGTAGCTCTTTTAGTCCTTGAGCTGCATAGCCTACCCTTTGTCAGAAACCATCTTCACTTTTCAGTGCCTGGCAAAGTTTTGGGTAGGACATAGGATGGTCTTGTGAAGCATATGTAACTCTATCAGGACTGCAAGCCTTGGACACCTTTAACCTTAACTATAAATGTCCCATGTGATTCTTATTTTGTTTTCTTTTTCCTTTCTAATTGTTTCTATTATTAATCTTTAAAGTTAATGCATTTGGCTTTACAATCTTTAGTGCATTTTAAGATTGGTTGAACTTCAATTTATTATTCCTTAACAGCAGCTTGCTATATATGTATGTGTTGAATGCTGATTGAATTGCTGCACTGATCAATCCATAGAGCATGAATTCACCAACTGCACAGTTCGCAAGGATGGGTGTGTACGATCCTCTCCACCAGATTAGTATGTGGGGAGAAAGCTTCAAAAGTAATGGTGATTTAAGTGCATCCATGCCCTTAATTGATGAGGCAGACATGAAGTTCGATAGTCAGGTGCAACTTTACAAAATTTGTGTTTTGTTTCAGTGACAAACGAGAATGCCTATTCTCCCTACTAACCAAATTCGTTTATTCTGTTTAATACCTAGTCAGAGGATGCTTCTCATGGTATGCTGGGAACATCTAACAAGTATGACCAAGAAGCTAATAGACCTACTGATAAGGTAAGAGCATGTTATGCAAACCCATTCCCTATCTGCCCTCCCTTTCCCCCAAACAGAAGAAAATAAAGAAAGGTTATTTCTTGGTGGTATTTTACTAATTTGAACTATATATGTACTTGGGAACTCTGGAATACTTCCTGCAACTGCAATAATCAGTTCGAATTGTCTCTAAATGTGTGCTTTACCATTCCAAGTTTCTTTCATTGGGAAATTTGTTTAGTACCCAATGCTATGATCAGTAGATATATTGTCATTTTGAAGTTTCAAAGCTCATTCTGTAGGGTATTGTTGTATAATATGATGGATGTATTCAAACAATTTAAAATTATGGAATAGGATCATTGGGGATGTTTTGGCCCAGGAAGGCACAACTTTTTTAATTTTCTTTTGCTTCCATCTTTAGCTTCATTTATAAACTTAGGTTGACAATGAAAACTATATCAGACCTGCCGTTTTTGACTCTGATGAATCTGTATGCAAGGCAAATTAAGAGATCCAGTGCTTCCAAATTTTGGATGTATACATACTCTTTTTATGCATATATATATATATGGTGGAGAAAAAATAGGAATCTAATATGCAGAAACATGCAGATGCTGAGACGTCTTGCGCAAAATCGAGAAGCTGCTCGTAAGAGCCGTTTGCGGAAAAAGGTTTGAATGTTTATACATTGATAGATATGTCACACGTGCAACTAGTATTTAGATATACTAATATTCATGTGTTTTGATATTACCTTACAGGCCTATGTGCAGCAGTTAGAATCAAGTCGTTTGAAGTTGATGCAGTTGGAGCAAGAGCTTGAACGTGCAAGACAGCAGGTGTGGGGAAGATGAATTAATATGCTTGTAGCTTCTCTTGTGGATGACTTTATGTTTTATCAGTATCTTCTTTCTTTTTCCTCTCTCTTTAATGTCTTAAGGCAACAAAACTGCAGGGACTGTATGTAGGTGGTGGCTTGGATTCTGATCATCTGGGTTTTGCTGGACCTGTAAATTCAGGTTGGTTTGTTAAAATGCTACTACTGCTAGATATTTATTTATATTGCACTTGAGTTTTTGTTTCTTGTTATTCCATGTTTTCATTGTTTTAAATTTATTTTTATTCTGTTGTGAAATCAGTTTTTTCAACTGTGCCTAAATCTGTTACATTCTATGTGGACATCTAAAATCTTGTTTTAGCATCTGTCATGTCAAAAATTTTGGAGATGTTTTCTCTTAGTTCCGTGGCAATCTTTTCTTTTGGTTTCAAATCATAACCAATTTTGTAACAATTTTTTTCTTCCAAATATCAAGAAAGTGGCAGAATGTTTAAAGCCTGGTGTGTGCCTGTTGGCAGAGTTTTTAATATCTGTCTGACTTAATATATGCTGCTAAACTAGATTATCTAGTCTCATACATTAAAATTGCCATGCCTTTTCTTTGTTTGTTTGTGTGTTTACTTACATTGCTTGAATGTTGTTTAAGATCATAACTATAGTCTGTAAAGAACCATTTCTACTCAAAAGAATAAACTGTTAGCTAAGGTTACATTAATGGTTTTTATATTATATTTCTCTAACACGTCCCCTCACACAATAGTCCATTAGGCTTGAAGGGTAGACGATATATCATTCCCTTCCTACTGATGCTAAGAAATTCCATAATATTTAATTGATTTATTTTTTAATAGAATGGGGGGGAGGCGTTGAGGATCAAACTTTTGATCACTTGGTCACAAAGGCTCTAATATCATGTAAAGAGCAATTTCAACCAAAAAGCTTAAGCTTTTAGTTAAATGTCATATTAATGGTTTTATATTATATTTCTCTAACATTCACAATAACCTTAAATTGTTAGTAAATTGAGAAAATTTTGCATACAATAAACCCATCTTGAAAATAAGTGTCTTATATTAGCCCTAGGCACAATTTTTAGGAATCTGACTTGCAACTCTTGAATTGTTGGGAAATTTTCATGGTGTCATGTAAGCTTTGCATAGGTCATTTTGGTTGATGTAATATTGGTCTTGGGTTTGCTTGAGTATGTTTTCTTCTTGCATTATACTCTTGTTTCCAATTAGTTCTTGCATTATAAGAATACCTGATTTGCAGGAATTACAACCTTTGAGATGGAGTATGGACACTGGGTGGAAGAGCAAAATAGGCAAATCTTAGAACTGAGAAGTGCTTTAAATTCTCATATTGGTGACATAGAGCTCAGGATACTGGTAGATGGTATTATGAACCACTATGCTGAAATCTTTCGCATGAAATCTGCAGCTGCAAAAGCTGATGTCTTCTATTTGATGTCCGGTATGTGGAAAACAACAGCGGAAAGATTTTTCTTGTGGATTGGCGGCTTTCGCCCCTCTGAGCTTCTAAAGGTGATGGTTCATATTAAATGATTAAAGGAAGCTGAAAATGTTATCCATAGAATATGTAGATCTATATTTCAGTCACTGTCTTTGAGGAGTTTCCCATTATTATTGTGTTTTAATTAAAATCATCTTCTAGTGTCTGCTTAAGAGATAGACAATAAGGGAAATTGAAACTGCATTCATTTATGGGAAATATAAGAATCATGTTGCAGGAATGACACTGTTCATTCCTGCAACAAGGATCCGCTTCCGTATCATAAGGATACGGCGTCGTATCCTGATTTTGATCTGACTTTTTTTTTTTTAAGCGTGGGACCTACACTTGATTTGTGTGTGCAGGAAAGTGCTCTAGTCATGTCACATGACAAAAAGTGAACCCTTCATTTATTACAGTTTTTGTACATTAGGCAAGATCTACTGGAATGCTTTTTGTACTTAAAATGGCTATCACTTAGTTTCAGTGATGGTCCCAGAGAATAGGGTCCAGCAAGAGATGATATATAGATTTTGAATTGACTTCTTGCCTTGGTCACGAGTTGCATCTCCACCCCTGCATTTCAAATTTTCAAAAGGGATTTATTGAGATACTTGATTAACTTCAGAGTATTTCTATTTCCATATTCAACTATGGCATGATGTAAGCTTGTAATGTATGGTGCATTTGAACAACTTTATTTTAATTGCAGGTTCTTGTTCCTCTGATTGAACCCTTGACGGAGCAACAACGGTTGGATGTCTATAACCTTACACAATCATGTCAGCAAGCAGAAGATGCCCTTTCACAAGGTATGGACAAACTCCGGCAAGCACTCGCTGATAGTGTAGCAGCTGGACAACTCGTTGAAGGAAGTTATATTCCGCAGATGGCTTCTGCAATGGAGAACTTGGAAGCTCTGGCGAGCTTTTTGATCGAGGTAATATACCCTGCTTTCTTGATAGCCATTACTCCTTGATTTAATAAAACTTTACTTTCACAACAAGTAATGTATGTATGTGTTCTGAGTAAATATGCTCTCTGAATTCACATGTGCTTATTTGTGTGGCTACCCTCCTCTAGTAGAAGGGAATAATGATTGGTAGATTCTTTTGAGAATAATTTGAAAGAGCATGTACTTGCTATTTTCTTATTTATGCTCGTTTATGTAAATCTACATTCTTCAGGGTCTGGTTAAAGCCTTTTGAATTGGGTAAGTTGGCCATTTTCTTATTTCTGCTCTATACTTCGTTTTTCATGTTTACAGTTGTGTGTCTCTCTGGTCTCTACAGACTATAGGTTTAAAAAAGAAAAGAAAAGCAGTATATTGTGCTTTAAATATCATGATTTGGGTCAAATGAAATAGGATCAAATGTGGTTAGTTGGTTAAATGTTCAATTTTTTTTTTGGGGTGAGGGGGTGGGGAGGTTACTGTTGAAGTGACTTGCAGCTATTAATCATGTAGTGTCGACAAATAGTTTCATATCTAAACTAGTTCTTATACATCGATCTATAGAGAAATGGATTTTAATTCTATTTTTAATGCCCTACTAAAAGAAAAATATTTGATAAAATAATTTTCAGTAACAGATTCTTAGTGAGGATGCTGAAATAACAGTCATTCTAAAGAAATCTTCAGTAGAAACCGAAAGCAACAGTGTAATCAATCAATTCAAAGGCTGGAAATATAATTTTTTTTTTCCAATTCAGATCTGAATTTCTAACAATTAAGTTATTTATGGTCTATTTTTGGCATCCTTTAACCACTTGATTTTGGGGGCAAGTCATTGCCGTAAGCATTCAAATTTCATCCATTACAATGCTGTGGCTTTTGGTTCACTTGAAAACATTTAACTGCACAACTTTATCACTATTACATTGCTAGTTTGGTAACTATTTTATTAAGCGTTTATTGTTACCAACTTACTATTTAGCATTTTCTCCGAGGATGCCTATACAATATAGATGCTTTTAATCCAAAAGTCCAAAGTTTTTTTTTTTTGGGTAAAGAATTTCTCCAGTTAACGGAGATAAGTTATTTCCGATAAGCTCGAAACATCGTTTTGGGGCAGAAATCAAGGTGTTTTTGTAATTCTAATATATTGCAGAGTTATATTAGTCTTTATCATTATAATTTTTTAATTTTATAATCCAAAACGACGTCGTTTTGAGCTCACTGGAGATAACTTTATCTCCAGTGTCTGGAGAAATACTTTTCCCTTTTTTTTTTTATAATCATACATTACTGTGATGTTTTATATTGTAATAATAACAAATGATATATTAAATATGGGGAAGAATCCGTTTACAAACATTTTTTACAAATTACACTAAGTATGACCGGTCATACACTAAGTACTTAGTGTAGTTTGTAAAAATAACCTTCCCCCCGTTAAACATAAGCATAGTTGAGGATCATTAACTGCTATATGCATTACCAATTTACCACTTCAACAAGTTTTTGATTGATTATGAGAGATTTAACCATGATTTATGTATAACAGGCTGATCATCTTCGTCATGAAACCTTGAAGCAAATGTCTCGAATACTTACAATCCGTCAGGCAGCTCGGTGCTTGCTTGCCTTGGGGGAATATTTCCAACGCCTGAGGGCTTTAAGCTCACTATGGTCTAATCGACCCTGTGAACCTGCTTAGTCTTGCAACAAGATTATAAGAGCGCAAGTTTGTAATATGAACGTGTTGTGATGATGAATATGGCCAGTTTTCTTTGGTTAAGAGCATCAAAACCATGTACCATGTGTGGTCCTGATTGCTCACATTTTTCCTGCAGTCTTGCGTTATGGAGAATTTGTAAATATGACCGCTCATTTTATGTTTTATACGAGTTTGTAAATAAATTGATTTTGGACGTATGGTGTATATTGGATTGTTTGCAAAATGAAATATTTAGAATCTGCAATGAGCCTGTGTGGAAGTTGGTCATGTAAAATGCGTATAATACTATGAAGTTGTGTGTTTTTGAAAATGAATCCACTCTTTCTTTTGTGCACATTGTTTTCCATGATATCACTTAATAATATCTATCCATCATAACCCTTTTTCATTTTTCTTTGATGAATGCTTCAGTTTCTGTCCAAGATGCTGAGAAAATTTTAATGAGCTGAAGGCTCTGCAAACTAATATCAAGAAACCAAAAATAAACACCAATCGACATTCAGTTTATAATGTCATTTGTCTGCAAAAAGAAAATTCAGTTTGCAATGGGTTGAGCAAGGCATTGTTATTCCTAGCATGTGAAATATACATCAGCAACAATACACACTGTGTGCGTGTATGTGTAAAATTTTATTTTGCAATTTTTGTTTCCTTATAGCAATTTGGTTCAATGACTTGCCAAGTGGAATTTCACAACTTCGATATAGCATAGTCCAAGGCATCTACAACAAAATCTGCACATCAGGAGGCAAGTCAGTGGACTTAAACGAAAGAATTTGGACTCCACAACCTAGTTAAATAGAGCCATTACAGAATGATACCTGCATCATCTTTGGTGAAACACATTGGTGGCTTAATCCTAAAAACATTTCCATGCAGCCCTCCTTTCCCAACTAGAATACCAAGCTCTTCAATTCATAGGCAGGTAAAGGGTTAGTATGTTTGGAACAAATTTTGGAAAAGAAAGCTTCATATGCATGATTCTGGTCTTTCTTTCTTTCTTTTTTATTCCATCAATGTTCTTTCATTGAGGGGTGTGGAGGTTGGCTTACCTCTCAGTCTTTCATGCAAAACCGAGGCTTCAGCCTTTGCAGGTGTCTTCTCTTTTCTATCTTTGACAAACTCTATCCCCACCATTAAGCCTCTTCCCCTCACATCTCCAATGACTAGCACAATATATAATAATGATCAAAATAATCGACAAATCATACTTTCATGTCTGAGATGTTAGATTCAAGATAACATACTTTCATGTCTTTGCATGAGAGATCTCAAACGCTCAAGCAAGTGAGAACCAACATCAGCACTATGGGATTGACGCTTCTCCTTATCAAGAACCCTGAGCACTGCAAGTCCCCCAGCAGAACATACAGGGTTCCCACCAAAAGTATTGAATTGAATCTTCTGGGACATCACACTTGCTATTTCTGGAGTTGTAACTACAGCTGCTAATGGCAAACCGTTGCCAATACCCTGATGCATATTAACATGAGATACAAATCATACATTGGAATTCTAGAAAAGACACATGAGCCACTTCAACAAAATTGGTCTTTCCTGAAGGAATGCAAGAGCAAAATACATAGTACACTGAAAGGACACCAGATAAAAAAACACAAAAACTGAAGCAAAAAACAATTAAAGGAAAAACATGATGCTATGCTTATATATGTAGATCAATTTATGCCAGTGTAAATCTTATCTTATTATTAATCATGGATTTTACCTGCATATAATAGCTCTAATTTATTAATCATACGCTGCATTAGATGCAAGTAAAATGAACGGCTAATACTGCGTGTAGGACTTAATCCTCTTGTTATATATATATATATACACACACACATACACATATGAACCTCACAATTCACAAAAGACTGATGTGGCACTTCAAATGCATTATTAAGGTGTAAATGTCTCCAGCAATTAGTAAAAAAGATGAGATGAGGGTCTAGACCTTTGCCATGGTAACTATATCAGGAATGACACCCTGTGTCTCAAATCCCCAATAATGGCTTCCTGTGCGACCAAAACCACTTTGCACTTCATCAGCAATGCAGACACCACCAGCGCTGTGTACAATGTCATAGACAAGTTTTAAGTACCCAGGTGCCAGTTCAACTGCTCCTCCAGCTCCCTAAAACAAGTCATGAGGAAAAAGTACATAGAAAAACCACACTAGGGTAAAGTTTATAAATTAAACATGATAGAGTATACATACTTGAATTGTTTCAGCTATAAATCCAGCAACTTTTCCTGAAGTGCCATAGTCAATATGATCTTGCAAGTCTTTGGCATAACTATTAGCATCTGATCCAAAGATTCCACGGTATGGATCTGGATTCATGATGTGATGAACTTCACCCTTAAAAGTTTTAAATATTGTTAAAAATAATTGGCATTTAACCAAAATTAGTATAAAATTGAATACATCATTCACAATGCTATGATTAGAACTAGACAAGCATGGAGTGGGAGTGTACCACAGTTAACTATGTATGTGTGTGTGGGGACAAACCTCTGGTATTGGGTATTTCCACGTGTTCAGAGCAGTGAGGCCAATTGTATTAGGACTCCCTCCATGATATGCATTCCTCAAAGAAATCATACCAAGACTACCAGTGTATAAACGTGCCATCAGCATTGCTAATTCATTTGCCTCCGAACCAGAATTTACAAAATAAACAACCTGCAATTTAAATTGCTTAGTTGAAGATCATGTTCTATATCAAATGAAATCTAGCACACTGTAAAATTGAACATTGCTTTCAAAACATACAACATATATAAAAACGAAGAGAAGGGCGAGCCATTTCATGCATTGTTTGTATGTGTGCCTTTGAAACTTAACACTGAGCTGTGGTTCAATTTTTTTGTTTTTGGTTTACTGAAATCTTTTTAAGAAAAAAATTTAGTTCAAAATGGCTCAATATCACGTTTGGACCTTTTCCTCAGTTCTCCACTAGTTCTTTGGCATTGCTCTATCAAGAAATAGGAACTAAACACAAAATTATGAAGAGAAAATTAACCTTCAGGTTTCCAGGCATTTTGGACGCCAAGGCCTCAGCAAAATCACCTATTGTATGGTGTAGATATATGGTTGTAGCATGCTGCAGGAGTTTACTCTGCTCCATTATAGCATTCAAAACTTCAGGGTGGCAATGTCCGCAAGAAATAGTAACTATACCCGCAAAAGCATCAAGATAACGTCTTCCATTCTCGTCAAATAGATATTGCATCTTTCCCTCCACTATGTTGAGCTATACATATATAAGATTTAAATTTGAATAAGATACCAATTCTCACAAACAAGAAGGAAAAAAATCTCATGAAAAGCAACAATGTTAAAATAAAAATAAGGTTGGTGATCTTCGACATGTGTGTTCTTCATCATACTTTTAAAACTAATGTTACAGATCAATAAACAGATCAGCAATGAAGCTATGCATACGTAGAAGTATCTCACACATGTCATATTCATTAGTTCACCTGTTTATTGACTATGCACGTATAGAAGTCAGTTTGTATAAAAGTTAATTAGTTAGTTACAGGTTACAGTTACTGATATATAAGTAGCTGTCATGTTGTCTTTTTTTTCGGTATCTTTATTATTTTTCTCCTTCCAATTAATGAGATTGATTCCCCTCTACATTTCTCCTCTTCCTTGCGAGATGGATCTTTCCAGATCAAGTTACCATTGTAAGATGGTATCAGAGCAAAGGCTCTGGTAACCAAGTTTCCGCTGCTGCAAACTTTGTATGCTTTTCTTCTTTTTCTTCTTTTCTTGCTTTTGCCACTCTTGATTTCAATGGCTAATCCTCTTCCAGATTTTCATACAAATCCCAGTATCCCTTTCTTTTTACACCCAAATGAAAGTCCAGCTTTAATCCTTGTTACACCACCACTAGATCCCACAAACTATCATTCTTGGGCCAGATCAATGAGTATGGCTCTTCTATCCAAAAATAAACTTGGATTTATCGATGGAACAATTGTAAAACCAGCAAACAGTGATCCTACTTTCCAAGCATGGGAAAGGTGTAATACCATAGTGCTTTCTTGGATTCATCGATCAATAAACATTTCTATAGCCAAATCAATTCTTTGGATCAACCAAGCATGTGAAGCCTGGGCTGATCTCAAGGCTCGATTCTCACATTCAGATATTTTTAGAATTTCTGATATCCAAGAACAAGTCTATCATATGCAGCAAGGTCAGTTTTCTGTCACTGATTACTTTACCAAAATGAAAATTATGTGGGATGAGTTTGACAATTTAAAGCCTTTGCCAACATGTAGCTGTGCATTGAGGTGTTCTTGTAATGGATACCCTTTAATGCGTGAGTACAGAGACTGTGATCGCACAGTAAGATTCCTTAAGGGTCTTAATGATCAATATAGTCATGTAAGATCCCAAGTAATGATGATGAAGCCATTGCCAGATATCAACACTGTCTTTTCTTTAGTAGTGCAACAAGAAAGACAGATTCAATGTGAGTCAAATCTGAATCAACTTGGAAACGATTCAAGAATATTTCACAGTTCTACTGATAATAACCAAAGATTTCACAATTCCACTGACAACACTCAAAGAGGAGTTTATGGCAGAGGAAGAGGACGTGGAATTACCAACATATTTGGAAGGGGACGTGGGAACAACACCAAATTGTGCACTCACTGTGGAAGAACAAACCATACTGTTGATACTTGTTACAAAAAGCATGGATTCCCACTGAATTTCCAATCAAGGAATGCTGCAAACTTTTCTTCCCAAGAAGACAGTAAAGAAGCTATGCAGATTCAAGATGTTCAAGAACCAAATGTAACCATATCTCAAGAGGAATATGAAAGCCTCTTGACTGCTTTCAATCATCATAAATCCACAATACTAGAAACACCAATTTGTTCAACAAATATGATTCAGACCACTGCTCTAAATGCAGACTCAACAGGTAATTCATCAGGCAGATGGCTCCTTGACACTGGAGCCACTGACCATATCAGCTTGATCTTTCTAATTTTTCTAAAATTAGAAAGATCAAGCCTATATTCATCTCTCTTCCTGATGGATCTCAATCCCTAGCTCAATTTTCAGGAACAGTACATATTTCTCATTCTCTTATTCTTCATAATGTACTATATGTCCCTACCTTTAAAGTTAGTCTCATTTCTGTTACAAAACTACTTCATGACCTTTCTTGCTATCTAACCTTCTATAATTCTTGTTGCATTATTAAACAGATACCATCGAATATGATGATTGGTTCAACTGATGTAATTGATGGATTATATG